TAACTCACTTGCTTGTCAGTCTGTCGTCAGTCGTCAGTCTGTCTAGATCGAAACGCAGGAGTGAAAATTCGGACACTTCTACTTGACCGATACGATTCACAGTTGGCACGTTGGTCAAGACATAAAGACAATTGCAATCTGAAATTTAAATTTGACTTAATTGGATGCCTAATTAATTTTTTATGAATTAATTAAAATTTGGACCGAATTAGTAGGCATGTCTATCCAACCACACCACACGCGTCATCAAGTTCAATAGCTTGCGCCATCACGTTCAGTAGTCGCTCAAAGGTTTTTAGTCATGTAACTCTATTGTAAATAAAACATGTAAAGTAGGCCTACTGAAAAATCAATTCATAAAAAAAACGTTTTAATAACAAGCTTTTATGTACTAATTCACTAAAAAGTAGAAAATAAATTATAGACTACTATTTAAATAACTATAAAGAAAAGCGTGTGTGTCTTCCTTAACATTAGTAATTGTATCCAATAGATACTAAAGTGACCCACGCTTTTCTTTATAGTTATTTAAATAGTAGTGTCTAATATTTATGGGGGGGGGGGGGGGGGGGGGTGGTGATCTGCTCTCTTGAGTAAAAGTATATTTTTATTTAGTTTACTTTTGTTTTATCTTAACACACAGACAATGTAATAGGCAGTGATCTGCTCTCTTTTCTGTTTTGTTTGTTGAGCTTACATCAGTATGATGAACATCTGTTGCTGATGTTGTTTTGTTTGTTGAGCATACTTCAGTTTAATGAGCATCTGTCGCTGATGTTGTTTTGTTTGTTGATCTGACTTTGATGAGCATCTGTTGCTGATGTTGTTTTGTTTGTTGAGCATACTTCAGTGTAATGAGCATCTGTCGCTGATGTTGTTTTGTTTGTTGATCTGACTTTGATGAGCATCTGTGGCTGATGTTGTTTTGTTTGTTGAGCTTACTTCAGTTTGATGAGCATCTGTTGCTGATATTGTTTTGTTTGTTGAGCTTACTTCAATATGATGAGCATCTGTTGCTGAAGTTGTTTTGTTTGTTTTGCTTACTTCAGTATGATGAGCATCTGTTGCTGATATTGTTTTGTTTGTTGATCTGACTTTGATGAGCATCTGTTGCTGATGTTGTTTTGTTTTTGTTTCCATAAGGGCCAGATCGACATACCCAAAGAAAAGGAAAGGCTAGAAGCTAAGAAAGACAGTTTGGCCAAAAGTCTGGCCAAACTTAGGGAAGCGGCCAAGGTTCCAGATTATGAGAGCAAGGTGCCTGAAGATGTCAGAGTTAAAAATGAGGAAAAGGTAAGGACACACACTATACACTCTATATGATGTACACACTCAACATGCTCTACAGACTCTACATGATTTGCTTACTCTACTTACCCTACACACACTATACACTCTACATGCTCTACACGTTCTGCTTACTAGCCATGCACTACACACTCTATGCAGTCTACATGTTGTGCACTCTATACATTGTACACACTCTACACAGTCTACACGCTGTACATACTCTGCACAGTCTACATGATGTGCACACTATACACTTTGTACATGATGTACATACTTCATATGCTCTACATACACTATATGCTCTACTGACTCTACATGGTTTGCTTACTCTACATACTCTACAGACTCTATGCAGTCTACATGTTGTGCACTCTATACATTGTACACACTCTACACAGTCTACACGCTGTACATACTCTGCACAGTCTACATGATGTGCACACTATACACTTTGTACATGATGTACATACTTCATATGCTCTACATACACTATATGCTCTACTGACTCTACATGGTTTGCTTACTCTACATACTCTACAGACTCTATGCAGTCTACATGTTGTGCCCTCTATACACTGTACACACTCTACACAGTCTACACGCTGTACATACTTCACATACTCTACAGACTCTACATGGTATGGTTACTCTACGTACCCTACACACACTATACAGTTTACATGATGTAGGCCTACATGCTATACATGGTCTCAACACTATGCACTAACACACATCACACGCTCTATGCACTATACATACTCTACACATGATAAACACTCTACACATTAAACTTTAAAGATTCCTCAATAATTATAAATTAAAATGTTTCAAAACATTAGAAGATACTAGATACTTAAACTTGTTATTAAAAGCAACAAATTAATGATATTGTGCGACAATCTAACTTTGAACATTCTCTTCCACGCCCCCCCCCCCCCACCTTTGTCACTTATCTTAATCAACTATCCTTCAACTTAGAAAAATAATGTTTTATACCATTAATATAGACTAGTTAGCTGCCACCTTTAGAATGATAATGTAAATTCCAAAACTATTTAAACTGATTAAATATTTCAATTTCTAATAAATACATGTGATCAAGTGCCATTGATTTAGAACCATTATTTTATTTTATAATAAATTGTATAATAATTGTAGAGTTAATATGTGATTTAATTTTCAGTGTTTGTTATTGTGTGTGTGTTTCAGATGAATGAATTATCAGCTCAGTTAGAGACCATCAGCAACTCAATAGAGACGCTACTAAAGTTACAGTAAATAAAGTAGTTTAATTTCTCCAGTACTGACCACTGTCCAGCAGTATCATGCCTTGTAAAGATGTGAACTTTGTTTATCTTGCTGTAAACCTTATTTTGTTTGTTGATGCTTTGTCATTATTTAAGCTGATTTAATAAAATTCTAATCATATAAAAAAAATATTTTCATTCTAAAGTTTGTGTTCACTTGAAATTTTGTTCCGTTCTCATAAAAACTACACTGGTTCTTACAATGCTCAATTTTAATTAGTTTATCAATAAAGCCTAGATGTAGGGTTTACATTAACAATGTCAGCACTAAATATCTGTTTAATGT